ATATATGGCTTGCCCAAAGTAGAACTGACTACTGCAGACCAACTCCAGGACCTGAATTCTTAAACACACCATGAGGGAGTCTTTCCCTTCTGTAGATGAGGCGGAGGTTCAGGGAGGTTACACAAGTTGAAGAAGTAGCAAAGCCTAGAGATTAACCAGGAACCCTGAGCCTGTGTCCTTTCTCTGGAGATAGGAATCTATGGCTTGGTTGTTCATTCTCTCCTTGCTCCCCCACCAAGGAATTGGGAGCCACTCCTCCCATCCCCCAATACCATCTCTTATCTTTGCAGAATACCCAGAGTAATCCCAGTGAATGTAAGGATCCTGATTTCTCATTGCAACACCACACACACATATAATCCCCTCTGGTAGGTCCAAATAGCATCCCATACTCTATCTAGTCCAGTAAGCCTTCCCCAGCAACACAGGATACCACACATCCAGGAGACACAATCTAAAAAACAAAGTACAAACTTTATTTTTTCTTTATAAAGGCATGGTGGCCTCATGGTTCCCCCCACACACACTTTCTTAACAAAATATAATAGCTCTCCTTGAACACAAAGACCTCGAAATTGTTATAAAAAAAAAAACAACAAAAAAAATAAAGAAAAACAAAAAACAAACAAAGGGGGAAAAAAGAAAAACCCAACAAACAGAACAGAGAGACAAAGACATTTCTGGGGATTGAAAATGGGAAACCTGGAGGGAGAGGTGGAGGCCAGCTGGTGGTGGAGAGTGGCAAATCCTAGTGCTGAGGTGGGGCAGGGAAGGAAGGGCAGGGCAAAAGGGCAGCAGCAAACCCCAACGGAGAAGCAACTTCCACCCCGGACCCCCAGAGAGTCCTGACCCAGCCGGACCCCCAACCCATTAAGTGCTTAGAGAAAGAAGAAAACCAAAAAGAGGAGGGAAGGGGGAGTTAAAAACTAATGGTCACAGAGCTGGCTCTGGGGAGGGCAGAAATACGTTGGGGTTTTGATTTTCCCTGTTCTTAAAAACATGTTTAATGAAAAAAAAAAAATGCTTTTTGGCAGAGAGAGGCCAGGCACCTCAAGTGTCAGCTTCCCCAGCCCCCCCGGGTGAGGCCCAGCCCCAGGTGTCCCGGTGCTCCCACAACACCCACCACCCCAGCCCCCAGTACCTCAGGTTGGGTGGCCTTCACTCAAAGGTTGACTTACAGTATTGAAAAAGAGGTCATAAAAGAGACCCAAATGACATTGTAATTTTGTAAAAATTCCTCACTCGCTGGCCCGCGTGTATTCCTGTTGCTGCCCCGGCCCCCTCTAACCCCAAGAAGGGAGAGGAGGGCTGGGGGGTGGTCAGGGAAGCCCCCCAGTCCCAGCCGGCTCCTCCCGGCTCTGGTCCATGGTGTCGCTGTCCGAGGCCTCCGAATCGGAGGCAGTGTCAGAGGCCTGGGCCTCCGGGCAGCTCCGGACTGGCTTCACAATTACAGCTCGCCGCTGCTCCTCCTCCTGCTCCTGCCTTTCCTGGGTGCCCTCGATGTGCTGGATCGCCTGGGGGGACAGGCTGCGGTGAGGATGGCTGGAGGGACACAGCCAGCCACCATCTCCCCTCACACACACATACACACACACACACACCAGAAAGGTCCAGAAATAAGTCTGGTAGAGCAGCAGGCGGCCTGCCAGAGTCAGGGTTAGTAAACCCCTTTGCTGAGCTGAAAAACCCCTTGGAGATGACAGTGCAGGTCTGCTTAGAGGTCACCAGCATCTTTCACTTATTTATATATTTCAAAGTTGGCCTGTTCACTGATAAAAGGTCTTTGTTATTAATTTCACTATTCAATTTGCTGGAATTATGTGCAACTAAAGGTCCAGGGATTAATGGACTTTTTTTGGTCTAGTTGTTTATTTCTTTTACTAGAGGCCCTTGGGGTCCCTTGGCCTGGCCTGCACCCTCTCACAATCCAGGACCCCTTGGGGGATGTCAGACTGCTGGTTTTGGCCTGAAACCCGCAGGCCAGGCCGAGGGACTCCACCGGTGCATGAATCCGTGCACCAGGCCTCTAGTCTATATATATAAAAGCCTAATATGCAAAGTGTCCCCTTGGGAGTTTGACCAACCAGGAGTTCTATCACTCGCTATGACATGCACTGACCACTAGGGGGCGGAATGGAACAAAGGAAGGCCCCGGCCGGAAGCCAGGGAAGGGAGGCCCCAGCCAGTGGCCAGCAGCTGCTAGGGAACCTACCCATGCACGATTTCATGCACTGGGCCTCTAGTAAGATCTTTGGTTAATCTCTTCCCACCCTCCCTCCTCTCCCCTTCCCTCTGAGATTCATCAGTCTGTTCCATGTTTCCATGCCTGTGCATTGAGCATCTGCCCCCTGGTGGTCAGTGTGCATCATAGCTACCAGTCGAATGGTCGAACGGTCGAATGGTCAAACAGTCGCTTAGGCTTTTATATATATTACATATATAGATGATGCCACTGGGACTCCCCAGGGGTCTCTGCCCCAGGCTGTGTACAGCAGTGACTTTGGGCCTGACGCACAGAGCTGTCACCTCTGTAGGAGGCTTAACTGTCACCCTCCCAGCCACTGCCACCTCCATCCCCATCTCAGGTCCTAGGAGATGGAGGTGAAAGGAAGTTCTGGACCAAGAGCTGGATGTAGGAATTCTGGAAGCCAGGAGCTCCGGTAGAAAAAGACCCTCTCAACAAACCCCACGTGGAGGGAAGGAACAAGGTTTTCCAGGGAAGCCTGTCCCCCATCTCTACCCCTCACCTTCACAGAGCTCCCCCTCCAATCCCTGCAAACAGAGAGGGAGACTCGGGGATGGAGACAGACACACACCCAGCTTCCCAACCTTCCCCCACACAAGCCCTGTCTCATTCCCCTTCAGTTCCTGCTTTCTAATGTCTCCCAAAGGGCCTATTCCCAGAGGACAACCCTGACATGCTGCCTCCTTCCCGAGACCAGGTACCTGCACGATGGTGTCCAGATTTTGCCGGGACGTGGAAACAGAGTTGATGACCGAGGAGGGGCCCATGGTGACGACGTTGATGTGGTGGGAGGGAGGGGGTGGCGGTGCCGGCACGATCACCGTGG